TGTCAAATGAAATTTTTCAGTATTTGTACAATTTTATTTTCTAAAAACATGAATGAAAAATCCAAGGGATACCTATAAAATATGTTCCAAAAATTTTTATTTTGTATAGAGATTGTGTTGTGCGAATGTGCTTCAAATTTTCGTACATAGTTCGCGATTTTGCAACTCATTCGAAAGCTATAAAGCAAGTGAGTGAATATGACATTCTCGTTCGCATAAAGACAGCTTTTTCGTCATACATAAACCCAATTTGTAAAGAAAAAATATACGTTTACGTTTTCTTTCGAGTTGTTTATCGTTCGACTTCTTTTGTCTGTAAAAACTTTTTATATGAACCAAAATTGATTTTCATTCGCATTGAAAGCGAAAGAAACCTTTCTTTCGAAATACATAAACAGGCTGTTAATATTTTTAAAGCATAAATAATATCCCAGGAAGTTCAAAAAAAAAAAAAAAAAAATCATTAGAAACATTTCGGAATAAATTTCATTAATGTTTATTTTTGTTTTAACATCAAAAATGTTAAGAGGACGCATCAAGTCTGAGACAGGAAATCTTTCTTCATAGAATAACTCGAATTTTCCAGCATATTCATATTAGAGGAAAGATGAGGAAGCGATAGAAATATATATTTTATAGTTTTCCATATATTTTTATTTTTTAATGCATGTATTTCAATGAATACATGTATTTCAATGAATGATCTTTTCATGTTTTTGTATTTATTTGACATTTTCCAGCATATAACTAAAAATGCGAGAATTGACTGAAACGTCATGAATTCTTCTCAAAATCCAATAGGGAATACGATGAAATAGTTGTTTCATCCATAACAAAGTAAGTATTTACAGGCTAACGCGTTGAAAAATCGTTATCATTCCTATTAAATTTAATTATTTTTCAATTTAATTTGTTGACATGGTATTCAAACGATACACACACGTACACAAAATATGTATCTTGATTTGATAGAACAATGAGAAAAAATTTTAATCAGATGGTAGCTATGCACTACCATGCCATAATTAGACCTTGCTAGTAACCACAAATGCTTACCCCCTAATGCTTTAAAGAAATTGGAATATAATAACTTTTTAAAATTCATAATCGAGATAGACACATGTTTCCTTTTGAGAATATCCATAGAATCATTTTTATGTCGATTTATGTCCGTCCATGTATATTTGTGAGCAAATTATGATCCAATTCAGATCATAGATGCGACCTGATCCAAGGACGAAAAAATTTAGATATAGCTCCCATATCGTTAGCTAATATGCAAAAAGGCGTAACTAACAAAAGCATAATTGTGTAGGAGAAGCAAAAAACTGTTTTGAATGAAAACTATAAACATGTCATGTGAAATGAAAAAGTATGCCCGGCAGGGTGATATTACATATGACGAATAATAGACTATAATTTTTTTTTTTAACAAATTTAGTTATTTAGTTTAATTGCAGTCATAACAATTAAGTAAAATTTTGATTTTTTTGTTAGTTACGCCTATTTGCATTTATGAAATAAACCCACTTGTAGTTACGTCTTTTTGTTTTTTGTTAATAGAAGCTCCTTTTTTGACCGCAGACGTGTAAAACTTTGTCAACACATGTAGTTTATTGACATTCACAATATTCATTCAAAAAGTCAATTTTCAATTCTTTGATAGTTACGCCTTTTTGCATTTTAGCTGACGATATATATTTTCGTCGGATTTTATATAAATGCTGCACCAAACTCCCAAAATTTGTCCGATTGAGACGCAATTTAGCATAGCGTATTGAATTGGGTCTAGAAGTTTGTTTGTTAAGTTTTGTTGGAATCGGCTCAGATTTATATATAGCTCGATTTATATAAATGGTACACCGAAAGCATATGTTTGCTGATTTACACGAAATTTGGCAGAGGGTATTGAATTGAGTTTGATGTGTGTAGTGTTATGTAAAAATCTTTTCGGATTTAGATATTGCCCCCATTTATATTTTCGTTCATTCTTATGTCGTTCTACGTTTGTTCAATATACACGAAATATGGCAGCGGGTATGGAATTTAGTCTAGAATGTTTTGTGTTAAGATTTGTTGAAAACGGCTTTGGTTTAGATATAACTCTCATATATACTTTCGTCCGATTTTATGTAAATGATGCACGATAGATCATGTTCGATTTGCACGATATTTAGTTTAGCATATTGATTGTAGTCTAGAATGACGTGTGTTAGGTTTTGGTGAAATCGGTTCAGATTTAGATATAGCTTCCATACACATTTTCAATTTTCAATGCCTAAAAATGAATGATTCAGGCTTCAATATTGCAAGTATACTGGGCAATATGGAGGTAAGTCAATAATGGCTTTGGGCTGTTTTTTCTTTGTATGGTGTCCGATATGCCCAAGGATTAAATTGACCATTTTATTTATTTAATGCCTCGTAGGTGTGATTACTATCAAGATATGATGATTTTCTTAGAACAAATCAAAAAGTTGATTTATTTTTCAATAGAATATTTTTTATTTCAAAATAAATTTTGCGTTTATACTTTTTGTTTTTTAAAATTGATTAAATTATCTACTTATTTCTGAATAAAAAAACTTTCACTATAACTTTATTTTTAAAAAAGTTACATGCCATTTATTGAGTTTCCAATTTCAGCTGCTTTAGTTTTGTTCAACTTAAACGCCATTTACATTAGAGTGTTTTGCCGGGTTAACCTCCTCCAAAGCCTGTCCGATAGACATGCAATTTTTCATAGATTTCAGAATTGTTTTTTGTATGGGCTGTCGTCCGATTCCATTTAAATGGTCCTCCAGAGATTCTATGTCGGTCCTATCTACGGGATATTGTTCATATGAGCATCTCTTGTATGTATCCAATGTGGTAAATAGTCGGCTTCGTCCGACTTTTGAACTTTCCTTACTTGCTAACAAGTTGAATTTGGTCGCTGGTTACCTATAAATCTCACGAGTCCACGTTTGTTTGAGAATCAGTACCGAAGCTATAATCTTGGCTGCCTAATATAATGTTGTACAAAAAAACTACAAACTACAATTGAGCCTGACTATTAAAACAAAAGACTCGTTATTGCACATAACTAGAAAACTTTGTATGGATGTCTTTCAATGAAGGGCATGATATTACATGGAACATTTGATACAAAAAATGTTTAATAATTGTATTTTGTATTGCAGATTACCTTCAGGATCTAAATATGGGTTCTACAACTTATATTTATAGATTTTAGCAGCAAGGAATCTCAAAATATTTCAAGATATAAATAATCTGGCAATTGTCGCCACTGAACACAAGTTGTCCGTAAATTTCGAAGGAATGGTTTTTTCCATGGCCCAAATATCAGGTCATCCAGAAGGTGAATTCCAACAAAAATATAAACCTATATCTGTATTTATTGTCAAACGTTATTGTTAATATAATTGGTATACATTTACCAATTATATTTAATTTACTCCTGAATACACCCCAGAATACAAACTTTGTCATTTTTCACAAAAAGTCTAGGTTTATAAAAAACAGTCATGCTTATTCCTCGGTCAGATGATCTTCCTGGTGTAAAATTTCGTTGTTTTCACGTCATAAAAAACAGATAAAAATTGGTCGATTTCGTCCCTTAAATATTAACGGCCAGAACGATTGGTCTATAACAGTGGCCTCTATCGTCGAGATATGACGATCGGTATGCTAAAAGGTGGATCAAGAACCAATATTTCACGGTGTTACAAACTTTTGGGGCTGCACAAAGCATTAATACCCTGAGAACATAGTTGGGTAGGTTATCTAAAAAATATATATATATATATATATATATTTTCCGTGGTCATAGAACTATTTGTTGTGCACAGATATAATGTAATTATCTTACATTTTTGCATACGAGAGATCTGTACAGTATGATACACAGTTTACTACTTTCAATCTGCCGATAATTCTAAATTTTGCCCCAATCAAAGATTCTCTATGTTAAGAACCATATGTTATCACTATATAGTCTTAAATCACCCTATTTGGTCGTATATATTATATTTTGTTATATTCATATTTTCTTTAATTTAATCATGCTCAAATGTTCATTTACAGTCGATGATTCAATATTCTGCAGTATATTTGTTTGTATGTATGTTGAGATTGGCAAAATACCCACCCACACGATGGAGTTCAATGCACTTTCTCCATAATATCAACACACATACATACTTTATAGTTCTCCCTCCAAAAACGAACTCTCATTTTGCATTGCAACTGCAATATAAACACTCACACATACACTTGCATGCACAGATACACACGAACGTGCCAAATATCTGTATTATACTAACCAACGACTAGGGAAAAGTTCAAAGGATACACGCAAAATAAAATAAAGCAACATCAACACCAGGGACGATGGGTTGTGTGTTGAGGTGGGTGTTGCTCAGAGTATTTGACACGAGAGTGGGTGAGTAATAAGGGATGACTATCTGGACACTGGTGCTGGTGGTGTTGTTAGCGGTGGTATGTTTTTATTCTCACACCATGGTGAATATTCCTTTTTACAGTTCTGGGAACAACAAAAACGCACTCTTTGTTTGTTTTTTATATTCCCATTTCGACAAACAACGACAACAAAAATCTACCACAACAAGAATTACGTCATTTGGTACCAGAAACAAAAACAACAAAATCGCAAATGAAACTTTTAAAATTCTTGTGGTTCGTTCTAGCAGATACAGACATTTCCGACGAACGAGAAAAATGGAATAAATATTAGTAGGATGTCCGGATTATAGAAAGCATTACATCATCATCGTCGTGGATGGATGATGACACACACACACTCACGCGTCAGATGAACAAAACAATTTTTGAAACTGTCCGCCAGAACAACACACACCCATCATTACTGGGCGTGTGTGTGTGTGTGGCTGTGTGAGGTTCAATGTCATCTGAAATTTTGAGACAAATTCGAAATTGAAATTTTTCCCAGCATTGCTATACCGTCCAATTATTTTGAATTATGTTTTTACCGAGCTCTGATGACCACTGGGACAATGTTCGTGCTTTCCACCAGTGCCGGAGTGTTTTCCTGGTCCATGATTTGAATGGTGATGTTGCTGCTGCTGTATTGGTTGTTGATGATGCTGCTGTTGATGATGCTGTTGGTGTTGATGATGTCCTCCTGGTGGCGAAGACACTGAGCCATGATGATTGGATTGATGCTGTTGATGGTGTATCTGGTGATGATTGTGTGCTGTTGGCGGTGATGGCATATTATGTCCACTGTGTGGCAAATGCGATGAATGTTGAACGCCGACCTGATGTGCATGGTGATGGGGAACATGACCCTGTGAAGCTTCCATCAGAGTCGGCTGTATGTGGGTGACAAACTGGGCCATTTTACAATCTCTCAAATTTGCAACTTATATAATTTAAAACGAGCTATTAACACTTGTTCAACACTCCTGCTCCGTATCACATATATACAACTGATTATTTTATGCCAAAACTGGGCATATGGTCACAATTTTCTTTTTTTTTTCTTCACTTTTCACTTAACTATTTTCTTGGTCATTATCGATTAAGAATTTTCACTGCAAACAACGATTTCAAGGCACCAAATGGGCGGGATCGATTGAATATGATTTCCTTATTGAATTCTTTAATAGATTTACTTCAGATTTCCCGTTTTTCACATGAACACTTATACCGAAAAAAGTGAAAATTTTTTGCAAAACACTTCTCTACACTTGTCGATTGGTGCGTGCGTGTGTGCGTATGCTTGTGGTGCTTTGGAGCTTTGCGAAATGTTTTTCCCGGGAAAACAACCTTTTCGATGGAGCGAAGTCAAATAACTGATATTATTTTGCCTAGTCTTTAGTTAGTTAGTCAGTTCAATACTTGGCTGGTTGGTGTTCTGCTCTGGTTCTGGCATGGAGCTGCTGTTAGGCATTTATGCTCGCTTTACTCGCATAACGATATAAAATGAAAACATACGCACCAGTGCCTCTTATACCACCAACCAACACTATCAACTGTGGTGCATACAAACATACATACATACAATTAATGATACATCCCATCTGGATGTTGAATTTGTGTTGGTGATATGCTAACATTTGTTCGGCATCGTACTCACACAGACAAAATCCAGAGAGAAACTCTCGCTTCTACAAACTGTGTTCTGTTAAATTGGGGTTCCTGGTATTCCTGCTTGACATAACATTAGCATCGTTGTGTGCTTCTGCAAAATTCCATAACATAATCCTTTTCGTAGAAGACACGACAAATTTAAACAAATGTGTATGTGAGAGAATTGTAACATTTATCCAGAGATAGACGAAGCAGACAGAATGGCAACGCTCCCTTAATAGAATTGATTGACAATAACTTTCTCATGATAACATCTGTGGAAGTATGCCAAACCTTTAAAGTTGATTTGCTGAAAATAGGACAAAAACCCTTTCCTTGTAGCTAGGACAGGTAGGGAAATTAATTTTTCTAAATACGAAAAAGTATAATTCAAATACCTAAAAAGGTAAAAAGAATTCTGGAAATAAATATAAATGGAACAAAATATAATATTTCTATATAGTACGTTGGCATATGCACAGAGGCTGGAATCATGAAATTGTGTATGTGGGTCAGTACGAGTATTGGCGCTTAGTTATGTCTCAAAATGCATTTGTTAAGATTAGGAATAGTAGAAAAAAAACATACTAAACAATATAGTTAACACCTAGGCGAAATGGATGAATCTGCAATATTGAAATTTCGTATTCAATTTTTCCTTATTTTCATATACGTTGTAATGAGTATAAAATGTACATACTTTAAAATCATATGACTAATAAAGAATTTGTCAGCTTGGTTTATTTAGATTATATAATTTTAATAATTGAACGCATCTATTAATATTTCTCTAAGTTTTAAAGTCTCCTTCATAAATTTAAATAATAGAAGCCATCATAAATCTTCACCCCCATTTATAATACTGATAATATTCTGCAACAAAGTTTTATTCAAGTATTTGAAAGGCATTTTTTTTTAAATAGGTCATGAGGTCCAATGAGGTTGACAATTCATTCTGATTCTATTTTTATTAGCATTTACAGTAAATCACCTCTTGCTTTCATTATAAGAGAGATTTGTTCTTGGTTAATATATACGTGACAATACATGGCATAATTACAGAATTTGATGATGGCAACCGTTTTTAATATGGAATTTATATATCAAACTAGCAGATCCGGCAAACGTTGTTTTGCCTTATCAGAATTGAATCAATATATATTTCAGAAACTATTTACCAAAAAATGTACCTCAAATTTCCACAATCAACAAATATGCATAATATTTTCCTCATGACGGTAAACCTTCATTTGCTGATACTCCAGTATAATAAGTAATATTGTTATTGTTAAATATTAAATTATGTCAGTATGTGTGGTATTTCAGTTTATCAATTGATCAAACTTACTCCACCCAACATTTTTCAGCAGAAGGTCAAGTTTTGATCTTACTACTCTCATCTCAAAAGATTATTACTTATCCTATTTGGATCACATACGATTCATAAGTCCTATAAAAGGTGTGTTGTGTTCAATTACTCTAATCTCCAACTTTTTATGTTTTTCTCAAAATTTTCTTTGGTAAAACTCTTCCCACTGCATTAAAAACAATCGAAGGAAAATGTGAGTCAAATTGGTGCAGTTGTTCTCAATGGAAACATTTTTCACATCATGAAAAATATAGTTGAGGAACCATAAGGCACATATAAGTTAGACACCTGAAGCATCTAATGCGCAATTGTCTCCATATAGGATTCAAATTTATATATATATATATATATATATACTTCCCGAATATAATAAAATTTTTAATTATACCTTCAATAGCTAGCTAAATTGTTGAGGTATTTGTAATGGACATTTTGGTATATTCTATGTACAGTCGAATTCGGTTAAGCGAAAACACCTAATTTCAGAAAAGTTTTTTCTCTTAAGCAGGGTTTTCAATTAAAAGAACTTCGGATAAGCGAAACTCGCTGCGCTTAAACGAAGTTTTCAATCAATATCTGAAAAATGGTGAAATTTATAAATCATATTATAAAATGAATTAAGTAAGAACTTCTTTTTTTCGTAGACATCTTCTTGGAAGGTTGGAAAAATGTGCAACATAAGTTTAGGGTTGCACATTCAAATTTTAATGAAGTTCGTCGCCATTACAAAAGTCATATTTTTCTCTTAAACGGTGCTCGTTTCATATATATTTGTGTTTTTGCAACAAAAAAGTCTTTCTCTTATACAGATTTTCAATTTTTTTTTTTTAAGCGAAGTAAAATGTCTGAAAATTCATCCGAAATATTAGTTTAAATTTTTTAGTTTCAATAAACCGACTTTTTCGATAAACCGGCGATAAACCATGGTTGTTACAACTTATATTTATAACTTTTAGAGGCAGGGAACTTCGAAATATTTATAAATATAAATGATTTAGCAATTTTTGCCACTGAACACATGATAATAATACTTTGATTCTTATATGTCCGAGTTTCTTTTATCGTATATTTAGATTTAGCAAAAGTTGTTTTTTTTTTGTAATATTGTAATTATGTACGCCCCGGTCCCTTGTTTCTTGTATCGCATATTCAGATTTAGCAAAAGGTGATTTTTGTAAACTTTTAATTAAGAGTTTACTTGTATCGGATTTTCAGACTTAGCAAAAGGTTATTTTTATTAATTAGGCATCTTATTTTTAAATAAAGGAGTGTGCGGAAGAGGCAACCACCAAGTCCAAAAATTACCTCTGTCGCGCCCTCTTACAAATTGGAATGATACTCTTGAATGCTTCACCGACCACGAAAAAAAGGAATATCACAAAGATGCGATGATGAGGACTCGGGACTTTATATCGAGAATGAAAGATGTTTTAAAACGTATAGAACATGTTACGGACAAACAAGCTTCAGATATATTGAAAGAATAAAAGTATAATTTTAAAGTGGCCATTGAGAGAATTTTGCTGTGCGAAAGGGAACATCGCCTTGAGGTTACTTTCCCTCCTGAATACTGTCGTTAGACGTAAACATAGAAAATGTTTTGAGAGTACATCCAAGAATGCAACATACCTGAGCCCCAGAATAGAGAACGAGTTTATAAAACTTATTGGAGAATACATCCAGAAAGAATTCTATTGTCGAAGAAGTGAAAAGTTCTGTATTATTTTCGGAATATATATATATATATATATATATATATCAAAATCAATTTCTGCGGTATACGTTCATTATTCTTTTCACATTTTTAAATTAAGTTTAAATGCAGATGAAGTATTATTGTCTACAATTTAAGAATTTGCTCATTCTGTAGAAAATCAACGAACTAATTGTAAATATGGCAAGTAAATTTCTTTTAATGTAAAGATTTTAAAGAAATCATACAATTATATGAAAAATATCCGAAAGTGGATCTGTGGACCACAGTGTGAAAAGCGAAAGATCCATGACTAGGGTTTGGGAATTCCCGGGAAATCGGGAATTCAAAATTTCCATTTCCGGGTACCCAGGTCTTTTCACAACTTTTGTAAGTAAAAATATTGAAGGGTAGGAATGATATTATATTAATTTAAAAATTAGAATTATAAAAAATTGACGTTCTACGTCATTGTACAATAACACTGAAAAAGAAATAATTACAATTATTTTTAAATAAAAGTATTTTAGTATGTTTTTAGCAAAATATTGTATTAAGAACTATTTGTACACATATGAAGAATTTTTAATTTGTATATTCAACAGGTTGCTTGATATACTCTTTCTTATGTTGATGTCAAAATGTCCGGCAGAACTTTTACTCACTTTATATAAAGCTTATTTCTTAAAAAAATACCGTGACAAGGTTTTGATCTTATAGGGGTTTACTTTGCAACTTTTTTAATTAAATTTCAAAACTTGTATACCTTTGGAGTATCTTCATCAGTACTACATGACCAGATTCCACTTCATTGAAAACCTAAATATCTTTGTGTACACCGTATTCCCCAAACTACCTGGGTCTCTTAAAACTTTAGTTTAGATATAAATTAATTTAAGTCATTTAAGTATTTATTATTGTAATATCTGTGGATTTGGATAGGACATTCAGAATTAATTTTCTCATGACGTTTGCCCTATCTGAAACAGTTGCTACAACGTGGGTCACAAAACATAATTCCAGTAGTTTTTCTTCAATCATTTTCCTCCTTTAAATGTGTTTGCGTTGATGCAAAATATGAAAATATAGAAATAAAAACACAATTGTTTTAGAATTTTTTACCAAACGTAGATTTGGTTGTTTATTGATAATTGTTCGTGGAACAATATAAAATTACCTTTACTACAGGATGTAGGGGTTGATGC